AACACAAATTATCCGTAACTCTCTCTCTCTCTCTCTCTCTCTCTCTCTCTCTCTCTCTCTCTGTGCAAGTGTATATGTGTATATATATATATAAATTGGTTATTTTTCCAAAAACAAGAATTTGTACACTCTAATCCTAACAGAATTCACTTCCTGTCTGCCACTTAGCCTTTTGTAGCCTTTTGCAGTAAGCTAACCACAGTGAAGTGGAATCCAGTATATTCATTTGGAAAAGGAGACAGATTTTTAAATATTCAATAGCACATTTTATTATATGTGTATATATATATATAAATTGGTTATTTTTCCAAAAACAAGAATTTGTACACTCTAATCCTAACAGAATTCACTTCCTGTCTGCCACTTAGCCTTTTGTAGCCTTTTGCAGTAAGCTAACCACAGTGAAGTGGAATCCAGTATATTCATTTGGAAAAGGAGACAGATTTTTAAATATTCAATAGCACATTTTATTAGAATGAAAATGACAAGCACCTTGATGCTGTCCACTTATGAGTCTCAGAAAAATCAGGCAGGGAGATGAGGTAAACTCAGCAAAACCCCATTAACATAATTACACCCTGATTTCCCCCAACCCCTGCATGCCTCTTGGGAATTAGTGAGATCTCTCTCTCTCCCTCTCTCTCTCTCTCCTCTCTCTCTCTCTCTCTCCTCTCTCTCTCTCTCTCTCTCTCTCTCTCTCTCTCTCTCTCTCTCTTTCTCTCTGTGGAGATATGCCTTGGAAGGCTGCACCTGTCTTCTCTCCTGTCCTCCTCCTCTTCCTCTCTCTCTCTCTCTCTCTCTCTCCCTCTCTCTCTCCCTCCCTCTCTCTCTCCCTCTCTCTCTCTCTCCCTCTCCTCCAGCCCCATCTGGGAAGATGGAGACCCAGACCTGCAAGCTTAGTCAGGAGTCCTCAGTGTTCTACACCAAGGCAATCCACTTGCTCAGCTGCTGGTGGCTTTCCTAAAGCCTAGGTCTGCAGAAAAGCTTCTAGGGGGTCGCACATGGGTGGCTGCAAGGATGTGAAGGGTAAATGCTTCCCTGGGGGAAGCAAACTTTGAGGAATTGGAATAGTTGACTCTGAAATGCATATGCAGGCACCTCTTCAAAAATGAAAATGTGGGGAATAAGGGAAAACTAGACTATTTGGAAAAAAAATCTTACCAAGACAGGCATTTAAAACACTTTAAAATAATGGAAATTTACATATGGAAATTGTTTATAAATTTATAAATTACACACTATATTATATTATACATCTATTGTATGACAGCTGATGCTTTTGGAAGATGCTTGGAGAGAACTGTTTGTTCTAGGAATAGCACAATGGGCCATTCCGGTTGATGCTAACACTCTACTGGCTGTATCTGGTAAGAATTGCACAATTTAATGACTTTGTTGTAGAAATTACCATAAAAATACATTACTGAAAAAAGAACAACATGTAAAGAATAACAAATTCCTGCCGAACAATAGAGTATACCTGTCATTTATAAATCTATATTTAAATGCAAATAATGTTGTTTTGTTGTATTCATGACTGCTTGCATTGTTATTTAAATGCAAATTACTGTGTTTGTTATCATCCAAGAGAAGATTTTATATTAACTTTCATACAATATAGCCAGTTTACATAGAATCAGATATCTTAGAGTGACAATTGAATAGCTATTGATATGCAGGATTTTGTCAAAAATCAATATTAAATCATGAAAATGCCTTCATATTAGAGTATTTATCCCATATTTTAATTCTAGGCATGAATAGTGACAACACAGATTCTCAGAAGCTCAGCAAGATCATATCTGAAATACAGGCTTTGCAAGAGGTTGTAGCTCGGTTTAGACAGCTCCGGCTAGATGCTACGGAATTTGCCTGTCTGAAATGCATTGTCACTTTCAAAGCTGGTAAGTAGACACACAAACCCCAGTCTCCTTCTTCTCCAGTTTTACCACCTCATTAATTCAGCTACTTCAAAGTCTAGCCCTAGACTGACCTGTGCAAACAGAAAAAAAAAAAAAAAAAAGGAAGACATTTTCAAGGGAGCTGATATTTTGAGACTGGCCCCATCCTCCCTAGCTGTGGGGATCTGCATGCTCTCTAGGTGGACACCTACTTCCAGTGCCCTGTGCTCCTGCAGGGTTTCCTGTGCTGTCTCTCACAGTTTCTTGGTCTTCATTTCTAGTTCCTACACACAGTGGTTCTGAACTTCGAAGTTTCCGGAATGCTGCCGCCATTGCAGCTCTTCAAGATGAGGCTCAGCTCACTCTCAACAGCTACATCCATACCAGGTGACCGCTGTTTGCCGAGAACATGTACTTAAGAAAATTGCCTCCATTGTGAATGTTCCAGCAGGCAGTAAGAAGCCAGTTCAAACATCGTGACTAATTATCCTGCTGCCAGCCAGTTAATTTAGTTAGAATCCATGTCCTCACCTGTCTCTTAGGGTGGATGAGAGGAGCAAATTGAATTAGGTGATCAGAATGAAGAGGGGTTGGCAGGCACAGTACAGCTGTACTGAATGAACAAGCTGATCCATCAGCAAAGCTACCCACATTTCTGAGACTGAGCATGAAGAGGGTAACAAATGAAGTCTGAAGTGTTAGGCTGATGGATTAGAAAGTACTCAGATCATCCTCAAAAAGACAGGTGCCTTTCAGATGCCAGTCCCAGTTATAAGGAGCAGAGAACTTTCTACAGAGACCATCTTTACTCTGGTCATGATTGCTGCTTGGCTTTGGTCATTGGTGTCTGCTAAGTTATCTTGGGCCTTAGCCCCCACCATGTTACTTCTAGCCAAGCAGGGCCCACTAGCTGTCCTTGAATATTGGTTGAACCTCTTCAACACTGAGGGGATCCAGCCAAGCTTCCCTAGCCCAGCACCTGGCCTAGCACCAGGGAAGCTCAGCCAAGAGCTGTGGACTTTCTGATTCAGTTTTCAAATACAAAGAAGCCAGGCTTTTGAAAGAGCAATGGAACTTCTCTAGCTTCCTGAGTGATCTGAGGTTGGAATCGAATTGACAGGGACTCATGGAAGCCCATCTCCATCATCCGAACATTAGCCATAAATACCATGGTGGAGATGACATCACTCGGATAGACACACTAATACCTCCCTCGCCTAAAGGGGTCAGAGAAATTCCAAGTCAGTAATATCCATTTGGGGTGCTAGGAGCTCCTTATTCCTATCACGAATCCCATTGAATGCATATAAATGTTCTATGTTCATGAAATATCACTGAAACCATATTTATTATGTGGTGGTGCATATATATGTCCCTTTCTAAAATGAAGTGCCATGGCTTAAAACTTAAAACCCACATTGAATTACAGAATATAAATATTTGTTCAACATTACAAAATGGAGCAGTACATAATCTGCATAATCTGGCACATTTCCACCATTAAAATCTGACATGTATTACAATTGACCTTTGACTCTCAGAGCCAGTAAGATATTCAGCACACCAAACTGAGGACATAATATTTTTGGCTAGGCACTCACCATGCACAGAGTTCCAGGTGGGTGTTGTAAATTATTGGAAAGGACAGACGCCCTTTCCATTGCGTGAAGTGGGCAGATATGTCACTTTAATTCACACCACAGAGGAAAGAAAAGGGAGGAGTGGGAGAAATAAATTCTAATTGGGAAGGGTTGAGGAAAATCCAGAGAGGGTGATTGATGGGGACATGAGATGGCCCTGCATTGTGAAGGGATTTCAGTAGGGAAGGAAGGATTTAGCTCCCTCAGTGGAGGAGCTGATGGAGGTGTTGTTAGGTGCCAGAGAGGTGAGCCATGGGAGTCTGAGAGAGCCTAGCCCTCCAAGAGCTGCTGATGGGGACCTGGGAGAATCCTACCACAGGTAAACAACAATCTGTTTTAGAGACATAGTGAGGACACTGCATCTCCCCCTTATTTTATTTATTCTATTTTTAAAAATAGTTTATTAGGCTGGGTGTGGTGGCTCACACCTTTAATCCCAGCACTTGGGAAGCAGAGGCAGGTAGAGCTTGAGTTCAAGGCCAGTCTGGTCTACATAGTGAGTTCCAGGCCAGCTGGAGCTACAGGGAGACCCTGTCTTGAAAATACCAAAAAATAGTTTATTATTTTTTTCTTCCCCCTTCTCCCAGTTTATTATTATTTTTTATTGTTTTATGTGAATGAGTGTATTGCCTGCATATATGTAAGTGTACCCAGGTTATGCAATGCCCTTGGAAGTCAGAAGAGGATATGGGATCCCCTGAAACTGGAGTTATGTACGGACAGTTAATTAGCAGCCATGTGGGTGCTAGGAACTGAACCCGGGTCCTCTGCAATAGCAGCCAGTATACTTAACCACTGAGCCATCTCTGTAGCCCCTCTCCCTACTTTTAAACAAGGAAATTGTAGCCAGAAGACATCTGTTTTGGCAGGGATAGCATAGCACATGAAATAAGTTGCAACTATAACTTAATGTTTAGAGTCATATATGTGATGAAATGATTATGCCTTTTTCTTCACTTTCAAATCATTGAATACTCTTTACCTCCCTATCTACAAAAACAAAGTCTGCAATTGAGCTGAAAAGGTTAACAAGTAAGCTGAAGTAATTGTTACTGATTGTAAGCTATTCCTCTAATTATTTAAGACGTGGAGGCTAGTCACTGGCATGTCACAAAACTGTATTATAACTGAAGAGACTAAATCTATGATAGGCATAGGACACATAGAACTAAAAAAACCCTTCTAATTATTTATGCTAATAGATGAAGTCAGGAGTACATAGTCTATAAATTAATTAAAAATACATTTTAATATATTTTTACTCATTCTTTGAGAATTTCATATGGGGCACCCTTCCTGGGGCCCCATCCCTGAAGAAGACTGACACTCCTTCCCCCAGCAGCCATCAACTAGCAGTAGCTCCTCAGCTAGGGTCCCCCATCCATACTGGAATTTGGACTGGCCTGATCCTTTGTGCGTCTTGTGCATGCAATCACAGCTGTTCTGAGTTCTTTTGTGCAATGGATCTGTTGACATCCAGAAAGCACTGTTTTGTAGCAGTCCTCCACAACCTCTGGCTCTACAGTCTTCCACTATGATCCCTGAAGCTTGGGGGTAGGTGGTTTGATATAGATGTCTCATGTAGGGTTGAGCACTCCGTAGTCTCATAATCTACATTTTGACTAGTTGTGGATCTGCCTATTAAGTGCCATCTACTGCAAAGAGAGAGCTATAATTTTTTTAAATATTTTTAAAAATTATTTATTTAATAACCACATAATTAGAAGCATTTCATTACATCAGCAATGACATATTCAATAACAATTTCCAGAGCTAAGATGCACCGCTTTCAAAATTGACTATAAATTTTTAGGTTTACAGTTGAATTAATACAGTTATACCATATTGTACTCAGTATAAACCCTCTAAGAAATAAAATTAAATGAGGTTTTAACCTTTAAGAAAGACCTCCATTTCATTATTAAAATACACAGTTATATAATGTTCTAGTCTATGGGTATAAAGAGAAGTATTTAGAGAGCAGTTTGATACCATGTCCATTTAGCAACATAGCAGTAGTAGCTTCTCTATTAGGGCCTATGACTTAGTCACAAATTCTTTGCCCAGTTAACAGTAGCTAGTATGAGTTCCATCTTGTAGAGCAGGCCTTACATCCACTACAAAATAATTTTGAGCAGTCAGACATGCCCACACTCATTGTTAGTGTTTCTAGGTGGTACTGCACTCCACATGTTATAGGCTGTTCTTTTTTATATTCTATTTATTATTTTCATTTTATGTGTATGTGTGTATTGCCGGCATGTACGTAAGTGTACCCATGTCGTGCAATGCCCTTGGAAGTCAGAAGAGGGAGTTGGCTCTTAACTACTGAGCCATCTCTCTAGTCCTGTAGGCCAATCTTATTGACTTAGTATTCAGCCTTTTCCCAACTAAAGAATAAAGAAGTGGGAGAGGAGTGAATAGTCTACTCACAGAACATCAAGAGTCCATTGTCGGCTGGGGTGTAGCTCAGTGGCAGAGTATTCAGTTGCCTAGCATGCACAAGGCTCTGGATTCATCCTAGTACATGCATAAGAAAGCTACTTGTACATATGTCTCTGGATTCTCCAAAATTCATCCTTTCTGGAAGGTATTATTTCCCATAACAGTTTCTTATCATGGGAAATGGCTGGCAAGTTAGGTGGATACCACAGACAATGTAGAGATTGTCCAGGTAGCCCTGCCACTGCCACTCTGCAGAGCTCTTTTTGTCCAATCCCAGGAAGGGAAACAGAGCCACTAAAGAAAGAACTGGCTAACGTTTAAGGAAGACTTGGCAGACCCATTCAGCAAGAAGAACAAATGTGGAATCCAGGTGTTTTCTTTTTCTGTTTATTTGGTTGGTTGGTTGGTTGGTTGATTTTCTTTTTTTGGTCTTTTTGAGACAGGGTCTCCCTGTAGCCCCAGCTGGTCTAGAACTTGACATGTAGATCAGGCTAACATCGATCTCACAGAGATCCACCCGTCTCTGCCTCCTGAGTGCTGGGATTAAAGGCGTGTACCACTACTCCCAGCTTTGGCTGGGTTTTTTTAAGAGAGGATATCAGGGGCTGTAGAGATGGCTCTGTGGTTAAGAGCACTGACTGCTCTTGCAGAGGACCCGGGTTTGAGTCCCAGCACCCACATGGTGGCTACAAATTGTCCTTAACTCCAGTTCCAGGAAAATCCGATGCCCTCTTCTGACCTCTGCGGCATTGCAGGACACAGGTGCACTCACATACATGCAGGCAATACACTCATACACAAAAAATAATAAATAAATTATTTTGAAAAAAAAGAAAGGATATCATTTTGGTTGGATTTTGTTGTTGTTGTTGTTGTTTTCTCCTACTTTTTAATTAATTAATTATTTATTTATTTATTTTACAACCACTTCCCAGATAGCACCCTCCCATAGCCTCCCTCCCTTGGTTGGGTTTTTAAAGAGAGGATCTCATGCTGTAGCCCAGGCTGACCTGAAATTCACTATGTAATCCAAACTAGACCTGAACTCATGGAAGTTGACCTGCCTCAGCCTCCTGAGTCCTAGAATTATAGACATGAACCACAACACTCAGCTTTTTTTTTTTAACTTCAGATAAACTTTATGACTTCCATTCCACATTATTAAGTATGAGCTGGTGCCCTCTCCATGAGTGGCCATGAAACTGGGCAGTGCAAGAGCCAAATGAGGCGGTTAGAGTGAATTATAAGCTTTGTGTCTGACTGAAGAGGGGGGTTCTTCTTCACCCAGAGCTAAGAGAGAAGACAAGCATGAAAGTTGCTATCTCTGAAGCTTGGGACTCCCAGAAAATTAAACACAGTCAACAAATTCTTTTGAAAGAATTTAATGTCTCTCAGTTTCTGCGCATATGACCCAGGTGGAACCTGGCTCAGTCATGCATATGTGGAGCTCAGTTTTAGGTGGTTTGTTTCAGTAGATGGAGCTCTCTTTATAGAGGGTACTGATGCCTGACTCCAAATGGTTGCCTAGAGCAGTATAAGGGCAACAGTGAGACCAGAACAGGCATCTAAAAACAGCAGGAAATTGAACTTGCACATCTGAGAACAGATGCATGTTGGACATCAAGTAAGGAAATTGTTAAGCAATTTCTCACATCTTTAATTATATGCCAATTTCATTGACATGAAAGTTGGGTGGCACTGCCACCCAACAGAACTTAGTCTTTAATTTGCAGTGTAATAAGGACAGAATTATTTCTGAGAGTGATGAAGTATAATGCCTGAATAATAATTTGGAGAATTGCTTAGAAATAGAAGCCATTTTATTAGAGAGAAATAGCCTGTAAGACTGTTGAGAATTTAAAAATGTGAATTCTACCTCCAACTTTATAATCAACCTCATGGCCATTTCCTACAGTGATAATGTTAAGTTTATCATTTTGTTTAAAATTAACATCAGGTGCTTCATTTTGTTTTGTTTTGTTTAAGATAGGCTCTCACTATGTAGCCCTGGCTGGCCTGGAACTTGCTGTGTAGACAAGGCTGACCTTGAGCTCACAGAGACCCACCTGTCTTTGCCTCCTGTGTGCTTGGAATTAAAGTTCTGTGCCACCACACCTGGCAGCATCAGGTGTCTGAAAGCTGTTTTCTTTAAGAAAAAAAAAAAAGGAAGCACTCTCTTGCATGCACTTTGCTAATATAGAGAAAGTAGTTTGGGCAGCGTCGCTTGTTTTCTATGATTCCAAATAGTCTAGCCGTGAAACGGGGACTGCCCAGGACTCTACTGCAGAGACAGAGTCATCCTGGGGTATGTGTTCAAGTGTAAAATGCAAATTCCTGTCTGTTCTGGGTTCTGACATTGCTTTTCCCTTGCAGATATCCCACCCAACCTTGCCGTTTTGGGAAACTCCTGTTGCTTTTGCCAGCTTTACGTTCTATTAGTCCGTCCACCATAGAAGAAGTATTTTTCAAAAAAACCATTGGCAATGTGCCAATTACAAGACTGCTTTCAGACATGTATAAATCCAGTGATATCTAAGCTCTCTAGGTACCCACTTTTCAAGATGGGGCAGTATCAAATGAACTCCTACCCTTGCAGGACAAGCCTCAACTAACAAACCCTTCAGGAAGCAGAAACCTGGGAACGTGTAGCCTTCAGGAAAACATGCTGGCGGACACAAAAACAATAGTTATGGCCTGCTGCTCCACTGGGGTAGGGCAGCTGGAAGGTGAGGTGGTCGAGCAGGACCACCTGATGGGAAGTCACTGCTGCCGTGCCCTGGGAGGGGCAAACTGGGGGTCACCACAGACTGAGCCATTCTGCCTGTGGCCTGGAAGATCCCGCTGAACTATCAAAAGTTGAAAGACAAGTTGTGTTTTCTTTTCCTTTTTAGCACATGAAGTCAGTTGACCAACTATAGCTCTGTGTATAACATCATATTGCGGCCTTTAGAACTATGCTGTGTTGGGGCATTTATTTTAAAAAATAATGGTTAGGTTTTAAATCAAAAATATTATCAAAATTTCCCTTCTATCGTAATAATTCATTAAGTGGCCTTCAGAACCAAGCGAGCCAGTGAAAAGTAGCTTGTGCCATGTGGTTTCCTCTTCCTGTCTCCCCTTTCCCTATCTTTTCCTGTTCTTTCTCCTCCTTCTTTTCTTAATACCATAGGCCAGACAACCTTGTCAAAGGAATTAGTGAACAAAAATGAGATTCTCACCAAGCCTTTAGGTTAAATAACATCTCAAAAACAGAAGAGCTTTACTAAAAGAACCCAAGTAGAGGGAGGATGAGTCAAAACAGCAAAACCAAATAAAGTGGAGATGAGTGATTGGGTGAGCAGGTCGCTGTCCGTCAACACAGTGCTGAAACCAAAGGCAATGGGTTCCAACTCATGGGTCAGTGAGTCACAACAGATGGCACATGAACAGAGATGCAAGCCGGAAGGAACTTCAAGGGAATAAATGCTAAATGGTTTCCTGACTGATCCATTGCTAACAGCCTGAGACTCTTGAATGCCTTCAGAAAACCCTGGTTTCTAGTAAAGCCTTGAATGCACGCACACACATAAGCATGCACATCTACACACACATGCACATGTGTACACACATGTATACACACATGCACACACATGCATACACTCACACCACACCGTCCTACACTATAAGCTGCTCCTTTGGTATGAATCTATGCTTATGGATATGTAGAAACGAACACTTTTAAATAGCTGCTGTACTTTTCACACTTTGATTTATTAGATACTAGTACTGAGGGAAAAAATTCAGCACTTGGACTGTTATAGGATGAGTAAAACTTCTCTTGTACAAAGTGAATTAACTGATTTGTGAAGTTAAAAGGTTGTACTCATTGTATTTACAAAGAATAAAAATATATTGAATTTAAAAACTCTGCCTGATTTCTCCACCACTTTCCCTGGCTCATTCTCACTTGTCAGATACAAGGTGGTGGCATCCACAGCTAGTGGTAGAACCAAAGCTCAGAGCCCTCTAGCACAGAGCCAAAAGAACTGAACTACAAAGGCAATTTCCTTTCTACAGTGAATCCCATTTGTAAAATGATGAATAAAGAAATAAAATATAAGATTCTGTTCTCTACAGCTCTCAAATGTAATTGCATCTGTTAGAAAAATTACTGTATGAGGAAGAAAGAGTCTGATTAGCAGTCTTCCTTCCTTACTCGAACTCTCCCACCAACATTTCAGTCCTGACCAGGAACTTGTAGTCATAGAGTGACAGAAAAGAGAAAATGTGAGCTGGGTGTGGTGGCACACACCTTTAATCCCAGCATGTGGGCGGCAGAGGCAGGTGGCTGTGAGCTCAAGGCCAGTCTGGTCTACATAGCAAGTTCCAGGCCAGCTGGGGCTACAGGGAGACCCTGACTTAAAAAGAAAAAAAAAAAGATAAACTGTGAAGAACTGTACTGATGAATACAACAGTGGGGGAGGAACATCAGTCTGGTCACGCTGATGTTCCCAGGACGTCCCAGGGCAGTGGCCCCTCTGCTGGTGCCCCAGTGTGGAAATCAGTGGTGCCAAAGGCCATGGGCAGTGTAGACTCTGAATGGCAGACTCAGCAAGAGTTGGTATCCTCTGCTCATGGTTGAAATGATTTTGTAGATGGAATGTGTGGAAGTTCAGTCATCCTTGATTTGTCTGCAATTCTACAGAGAACGGGAAGTCCATCTTAAGGCAGCAGCTCAGTGATAGAGCACACGCTTGGTGTGCACACAGCTCTGGGTTCCATCCCCAGCGCCATGCACACCAGAATCAGCAAGGTACTCAAATAGCTATGCAAGAATATTTCTTGCAATTCTGTTTATATTTAACATTTTAAATTTCCATTAATAGAGAATAGAGACATTGTGGTAGCTACAGTGTTATTATAGTAGTTAAAGGGAATGGGTAGGGCCCATGTTTCAACATTGGTAAATCTGACTAATGGGGGAGAGAGGACACATTGCATAGGACACATTCAATTTGGTATCATTTATTCTGCAATTTATAAATAGTACTAGACAATCTTTTAATTTTTTAAAAACTACATGTATGTATGTGTCTGTCTGTGTGTGAATGTACACATGTGTGGAGATGTCCAGAGAGGCCAGAAGAGTGTTTCAGATCCCTTGGAACTGGAGTTACAGGTGGTTGTGAGCTGCTAGATGTGAGTACTGGGAACCAAACTTGGGTCCTCTGCAAGAGTAGTACACGCTCTTAACCACTGAACCATCTTTCCAGCTCCCAGTACTAGACAATCTTTGTGGGTATATAAGTTGTATAGCAAATATTTGAAGGAAATACAAGTGGGATAAATACTAATTCCTCACAGACAGGTTACATCTCAGAATAGATGGGATTCACAAAGGCACCAAGAGGAACTTCAAAGGTTTGTATAATGGTTTATTTATTAAGAAACAAAATCCAAAACACCCAGACCATGAGAGCAAACACAAGATCTGGTAATATTGGATAATGGGTCTAAGGTTGTTCATTCATGTATAAGTCGAGTTTAGCTTTGGTGCTGCTAGGTAACAATCCCAAAGGCTGACAGAAAACTAGCATAATTCCTGGTCACAGGACTTCTAGTCAACACTGAACCTGCAGGGTTTGGCTCTGGGCTATGATGTGGGTTCAGATGGGCTTCAGGGTATCCTTATTCTGAACTGGAATATCCCTAACATATCAGTTTCTCATGGCATGGAGTAGAAGTGGGGGAGGCTGAGCTAAACTATGCATGCACATGTAAAGCCATTACTCCTTCCACTTCCATGATTTCCCCTAGCCAAAGCCAGACACAAGGTACAATCCAAACTCAAGAGAACAGAGGGCTCTCCTTTCAGATGGAGTGGAAGAGAAGATTCTCTGAACCATAATAAAACCTAGTTCAATCACAATCTACTTTATCTCCAATAGTCTCAATAAAATTAAAAGGGAACAAGATTCCTGTGGCAAGCCACAGAACACTGATTCTCACTGGAATGTCTTTGTTTTGCCCGTCTCTGCCATTACAAAGGAGAATCAGATTTGGCTCTCAACCTCTGAAAAGCTCAAAGTTAAAACACCAATAGCAGAGTGGTGGTCTTTTACAAGGCTTTGGAATTTTCTGCAGGATACAGTCTTAAGATGGGCTTTTGTGTGTGTGTGTGTGTGTGTATGCTCACACACACACACACACACAAACACAGAATTTCATGTAGCTCAGGCTGACCTTCAATTCACTATGTAGTGGAGAATGACCTTGAATTTCTGATCCAGCTGCCTCTACCTCCCAAGTGATGAAATTAGAGGCTTGTTCAACCCTCCTGGTTTATGCAGTGCTGGTTATAGAACCTAGGATTTCATGCATGACTCTACCAACAAAGCTCCATCGTCAGCCCTCTTTGTGCTAGCTGGGCATGGTGGCACATGCCTGTAAACACAGTACTTCAGAGAACAAGGTAGGATGATTGTGAGTTTGTAGCCTGGGCTACACAGCAAGGTCTTGTCTTAAACAAACAAACAAACAAAGAAACAAACAACAACAACAGCAATAATACCCTAGCTCAAACCAAACATCAAACGCTGAAGTGCCTCTCCATTGACAAATGTGTTTTCTAAATCTGAGAAGGTCGTTTTTTCAGAAGTGTCATTTACATACTATGACAATGAGGCACAGAGCCTTAGATTTTTTTGTACTTGAATTACTCATTCAGGAACTGGATCAAAATTCTCAAATTATTTCATTTATAGCTCAAGTTAAAATTTTTTTGATTAGCCAGGTGTGGTGGCACATGCCTTTAATCCCAGAACTTGGGAGGCAGAGGCAGGAGGATCTCTGTGAGTTCGAGGCCAGCCTGGTCTCCATAGGGAATCCAGGCCAGCTTGGGCTACAGGGAGACCCTGTCTCAAAAACACCAAAAAAAATTTTTTTTGATTTATTTATTTTTATTATGTGTATGAGTATTTTGCCTGCCTGTATGTAAGTGCACCACATATGTGCAAATCAGAAGAGGGTATCAGATTCCCTGGAACCGGCAGGCGTTACAGACAGTTGTTAGTCATTTTGTGAGTGTTGAGAACCAAACCTGAATCCTCTGTAAGAGCAGCCAGTGCTCTTAACTGCTGAGCCCCCTCTTAGCCCCTAGTTCAAGGCTTTTAGTCAAACTTAGGATGCCAAGAATTGAACCCATTGGCTAGAGATCTGTTTCATGGTTGCCTTCCTTCATTTCTTTGTTTTCAATAGCATCTTCCTATGTAGCCCAGGCTAGCTCCAAACTCATAATCCCCCTGTCTCTACCTCTTGAATGCTTGGATTGCAGGCCTGCTCCACCATGTCTGGTTCTGAATTATATTTTTAGTTAAATAAATTACTGAATTTTAATGAATTGTAAGATGTATACAATGATGGGACTGGGTCAGTGAGATGACTCAGCAGGTAAAGACACTTGTTGACAAGGTTGAAGACCTTGATTTGAACCTCAGCACCCATATGGTGGAAGGAGAAACCGGATTCCCTCAAGCTGTCCTCTGACAACAATACATGCCCTGTAGTGTAGACACAAATCCCCCAAAACACATATACAAATAAATGTAATGGAAAAAGAGGCGTGTTCTATTTAGGCCTGGATTTTTTGTTTATTTGTTTTGAGACAGGGTCTCCCTGTAGTCCCAGCTGTCCTGGAACTCACTATGTAGACCAGGCTGGCCTTGAACTCACAGAGATCTACCTGCCTCTGCCTCCCAAGTGCTGGGATTAAAGGCGTGTGCCACCACGCCTGGCTAGGTCTGGATTATTTTTATAAAAGTGGAAACACTTCACTTTTCTGTATCTGGCTATCCTGGTGTGCCCACCTGCCTGGATCTCATTCCATGTAGCTTTGTTAGCATCCCAGGTTATGAAAGGGTTTCTCACTAAGTCTTTGTTGATTGGTGGGTTCCTTGCAGCTTTTTGCCACATCAAACTAAGCTGCAAAAAATCAAATGTCTATGTACATTTTTGTTGCCTCGTGAGGCTATTTCTGTAGGACAAATTCTTAGAAGTGGTGTTTCTGGGTCAAAAATTATATGCATTTTTAAATTTTAATGGATACAGCCAAATGGCTCTCCAAAGGGTTGTATCAATTTGCACTCCTGCCAAGAGGGCATGAGAGGGCCCATTTCACTGCTCAGAATTTAAAAGTGCTTAATCAGACAAAGGCTTGATGAACACTTCAGAAGCTGTTAGAAAAATACAGAGAATGCATATGCCATGAATATGCCACCACCATGATGCTACTGACAGGCAAATAGGTCTCACTAACACCCGTGGTCAGCTGGGTTCCCAGGCCACATCTGTGAGCCCTGAGGAATATCCATGTCATAATGAAAGTTGAGAGAAAGTAGACGAATAAAGATGCAGAAGCAGCTTGGCTCAGGTGCTACTCTACAAATTTCAGCTGCTTGAGTCTGGAGAGTAGTTCAGTAGTAAAACACACTTAATGTGTGAGGCCCTGGGTTCAGTCCCTAGCACTGCAACAAATAACCCCACCAAAGAAACCCCAGAAAACAGATGCTCATTTTAAAAGAATATTTAGAAAATAATCATTTCTGGAAACCGAATAGCAATCTCTCTCTCTCTCTCTCTCTCTCTCTCTCTCTCTCTCTCTCTCTCTCTCTGCTCTCTGTGTGTGCATGCATCTGTCTGTCTGTCTATAAGACAACAGATTTATTGAGTATGCTCTAGAGGCAGCAGGCTGGGCTATAACGTTCCTTAAGCTGTGCTCACGCCAGCACCCTTACTAGAATAATGGCTGACATGGACAGCATTTTTAGTGGTGCTTTCTGGTTTTTGGAACACTTAGTAGCTCTTTTTCTATGAATCCTGCTGACCTCTACAAGTCTG